TCCAGGGCTCCGTCACCCTCACAGGAAAAAATTATGTGAACATGGTGTACAATATCTGTGTGTGAACTGCTCTCAGCTTTTTGTCTTCAGTGCATAGAAGAGCCTTCCCATCAACACAGTTATAGGATGCTACGGTTTTTCCCCTGTGTTTAAAGTGTTGATTTAACCTGTTGGTTATAACAGTAAGATAAAACCTTGAGTGTTCTGCTTGAACCAAAAGGTCTTTGTGCCTTCCTGCTAGTTACTTGTTTTATATTTATTAATATTAATATTTTTGTCTGTAAGTACCTAATTGTCCTGTGTAACTGTGAGTTTTGTAGTCCTTTTTATTTTGAACTCACACAGTAGGAAATGATTACTCCAAAGAGTTTCTGATTTTAACATCATGTTCAATCACTGAGTTTAATTCCATGTTTAATGTGCCTCTTGTGTTTCTGTGTGGATTTAAAGCATGATTAGTACATTGTTATTGCTCCTATAAATGGTACCTTTAAAATAACTAGTGTAGTTTTTTTTGGCATTGTTAGGCACAAAATCTGTGCACCTGGTTTTAGCATGATCAGCTTCAAAGAAGGTAGAATAATTTGGGTTGGAAGGGATTTGTAGAGGCACCTAGTCCATCCTCCTGCTTAAAGCAGTCAGCTGTATGATCAAACCAGTTTGCTCTGGGTTTTGTCCAGCTGCGGCTTGAAACCCCCCCAAAATAGAGACTGCGTGGTGTCTCTGGGCAGCCCATCCCACCCACTGCTGATGACTGTTCCAGCTTTTTTCTCAGATCAGGACCTCTCTGTTTTCAGCCTATGTCCACTGTCTCTCATCCTCCCACCTTGCATCACTGTCTGCTCAGCAATGCTGGCAGACTGCTGCTTCTAGGTCCTCCTGAAGCTGTCTCTTCTCTGGGCTCAGTAAGTCCATTTCCCTCAGCCTCTATTCATAGGGGAAGTGGTCCAGCCTGCAGCCATCCCAGTGGCACTCTGCTGACCTTGCTGCAGTGTATTGACACCTTCTCATGTACTGTGGGACCCAACATTGGATGAAGTACCTTAGATGCAGTCCAGTGACTCCAAGTAAATGGGGGTCATGACTTCCCTCAGTCTGCTGCTTGTGGTGATCCTGTTCTAATGTGTCTCAAGATGCTTTTGTCTCCTTTGGCTGCCAGGGCATGGTGCCAGGTCTTCTTGAGCTTGCTTACCACCAAGATCCCCAGACTGTTTTCAGCAGTGTACTTCAAGAATATTGTTTTATGAAACAAATGCACAACGATTTCTCTGACTCTTTGCCTGCTGTCATCTTTTCATCAAACATAAATTTGATATGAAAAGTGCAGTTAATTGAAAGATGTATATGCAATATAGTCAAATAAGAATTCATCTCAGCCATTGATATGTATTTTTTTTTTTGTCTTGTTAATGAATTTGCATATTTAGAAAAGAGATTTTAATTTCTGTAACAGCATCAGGAGTTCTGAATGAATGTAGTGATAGGTGTCAGGTGCAGCAGATGGGCAATAAGTCTGATGAAGAATTTTCAGTTAAATCAGAGAAAACCAGAAAAGTGTTTACAAGCATTTCTGGGCTGGTTTAAAATTTTGAGAAGCAGTTGTTAAATTGACTCTTAATGCAAGGCAGAACTGTTTTTACTTTTTAGGATTTTGTTAATAGAAAACTTTCCCTTCAGAAATTAATATACATGAGCATATTCATTTTGTTCTTTCACTGTATTCAAGATCAGATTTGAGATCAGAGACCTCCCTGAAGAAAAGAAAACATAAAAATATTTAAAGGATTTTTAATAACACAGTAATATCAGATGTAGTATTAACAGGCTGCATTTTAATGCCTGGTTTGAAATTTGTTATTTAGGGATGAAGATATGCAAAGCCTGGCTAGTCTGATGAGTATGAAACAAGCTGATATTGGAAATCTAGATGATTTTGAAGAAGACAATGAAGAAGATGAAGAGAACAGAGTGAATCAAGAGGAAAAGGCTGCAAAAATTACAGGTTGGTTTTGCCACAGGGGTGGTAAAATACAGTTCCTTTGCTAATTGCCAGCTGTCTTCCATGGATTTTATCCTTAAGCTATATTTAACTTTAAAAATATCCAAACCTAAACAAAATTTAGCATAGTTTGAAGAGGGACCCAACAATAACTCAACAAGTTTTAGTATTTGTAAATGCAAGAACATTGATATGCGTGTGTGTCCTGTTTTTAGGAGAGAATGCACTAAGTAGGTAGCATTTTGGAGAAGCAAAGACCCAAAGCAAACAGAGGAGTAAAAAGATAGAGGGAAATGGTCAGTGAGCAAGAAGGCAAAAGGATGACTGAAGTGAGATGATGAAGACAGTTGCTGGGAATAACTGTGAAATAGGTGTGCCATGGGTAGGTGCTGAGGTTCTGCTCAATAACAAGGTAATTCCAGGCAGCTTACTTCTGCATTTTGGTTGGGGGTGTCTTGTGGGAAATGAAATCAGGAAGCTCTTAGAGGACTTTAATGGAATTTGATAGTAAAGTTGTTTGAAGTGAGTTTGAAGTTTGAATTGCTGATGAAAATGCTTAAGTGTGTCTGGAATAGCTGAACTAATGGATGCAAGTCAGGTTGGGTTGTAATGATCTTAAGTTGTTGATAGAGCTCATTAAGTAGTACTGCTACATGAGTTCTGTAGGAACTCTTAGTTTAAAAGGATCAGGAAAAGATATGTTAACTTCTGGTGCAAGCTTTCATGCCTCCCAGTGCTCTTTAAAAATGCCTGTTGAAATACAGAGATTCTTCTCTAAGTTCGTGAAGAGCATCCCAAGCAGAGAAGTGAATTGTCAAGTCTGTTCTTGGAAATCCAGAGGAACATTTGCTGGGCGTCACAAAATGTTACTTTCAGTGCTTCTCTTTGAGCTTTTGTTGCAATCGAAAGGTTCAGCCTGAAGCAGTTACTGGGTAGTTGTATTTAAATATTGTGAAAGTATGAAAATATGTTTTCTCCATGCTCTACATACTCAGATGTTTTGTACCCTGGCAAAATTTCTGCACACTTACTTATGTGTCTGGCAGCGGGTGGTTTGGAAAGTCCAAAATGAAATATTTGGGAGACAGAGATAATGTGTTCTTAGTCAGGGAGCAGAGATACACCAGTCTGATTACTCCAAAATCATTCTGCAAGGGTGTCTTTTCCGTTCCCAGTGTAACCAGAATAATTCAGATATGGGTCAGAACACCAAACAGAACTTGATGTGTTCACCAGGCCATCTGATAATCACACAGAAGAGAAGGGCACATGAAGGAGAAGCTTCATTAAGTCTATATAACCTATTGTGCAGAAGGGTTTTATTAAGGTATTCCTAGATACTGTACTGGGGACTGCTGTGGCAAACCCACATGCAGAAGGACAGTGGTTGAAAAGCAGAAGATCTCGCTCCTCAACTTTATTGGTTTTGCAGTGTTCAGCATCTAAAAAAGCTAACAAATGATTTCTGAACAAACAAAAAGTTGTTGTAGATGAGACCAGTCTGTCCACTGTCCTGTGGCTTATGTAGTGAACATCACTGGAGACAGATCGGGAAGGGTGAGCTTTCTGGTGTGCAACACAAGGTCCTAGCTTGGGTTGTTCAGAGGCAATTCAGCTTTTCCATCTGTTGTAAAGGCCAGAATTATCTGTTCTAAGCAAACATCACATTACCTACTTGAAAGGCAGAAGCAGTAAGTACTTCTGAATGACACTACATCTGCTCATTGTTCAGCCTGTTCTGATACTGTTTTCTGATGATACAAGATGGGATTGGGTTTTTTGCAGATGCATTGTTGAGGGATCTTGAGAGGGGAGGGGTCAGTCTTGGACTTGCTACTTTTGTTGACTACAACAGCTGAGTTGCTTTGTTAGCCTGGCTAACTTTTCCCATGTCAGACAAGGAGAGGTGTGAGAGGGATGTTGAAGGAGGACGAGTGCACGTAGTTTCCAAAAAAAATGGGAGAACATAAAACATAGGGCAGTAAGTAAACATTAATAAATAAAATGTAAATTGTTTATTCCAGCACGTGTTCAAGACTGATTTCATTGGCAGCTGGAATAATGAATGGGAAAAACTAATGAAACATTAGGAGAAGTGCTGAGGAACCAAGGGCAAAAGAGGCAGGAATAATTGTAGAGAAACAGGAAGAGCTCTGGAAAGATGGAAATGGAGGGAAAAAAAAATGTAGTGAAGTAGTCTTTCTAAAATATATTTCAAAAATAATTGTGTTCACAGAATCCCATAAAATTAATTGAGGAAGTTTCATAACCCTTTTGAAAGCTTGCTGCTCCCAACATTTTCTCATCTGTTGCTGTGCTAGGGTGTTGGCAGCGATGCGAGCTGGAATGCCTTCACTGACTCAGAGTCCCCTGCAGCAATTCACTTTGCCTCAGTGTGCCTGTTTTCCCAACTGTGGAGTGGGAATACTGGCTGTAACTACAACATGGGAACAATGGGAGTATTACATGGTTCATGTTTGTAAGCGAACTTTGAAAAAGCAAAGTGCAAGTAGTAAAGCAGAAGGGATTATTATCCCACTTTTGACTCAGGGTCATCTCACAGCACTGTTGGGTGACTTGACGACTGAAACACAATCATTCTCAAGCCACAGCTGCAAGAGGTGCTCCAAATCTTTGTCACAGACACTGTTCCTTGTTGTGATGTGGAAAAATGAACTCTGTTGTTGGGCCCAGAGTTACATTTTTATAGATTAACAGATCTATCCACCACTAGAAGAACAAGGGAGACCTGCTGAATGGGGCTCTAGATGGTGCAGGTGAGTTAGGAAATGCTGCTTCTCTTCCTTGATATGTTGCCTAACTTTGGATGAGTATCTGTGCCTCTCTTTCTTCAGTTATGAAATAAGTGGTGCAATACTGAACTACCTCAAAAGCGTTGTGGAATTTGGTGTGGTCAGCATGGGAGCTGTTGTCATACAGGTGGCCTTAAGATCAGACTGAAAGGTGTTCTATATTCAAAGCACTGACTTAAGTTAAAAAAAATCTCTGTCTCAGGCTTTTCTCCCTTCCTTCCCAATATTTCTTGTTTAAATTTTCTCATGTGTAAAAGCTGTATCTCTGCCCAACTGTTGTGTGTTGTGTGAAGGTGATAGTGATATTTGTAGCCATGAAATAAGTTCCAAATATTTTGTTTCTACCCTGTTAACAAAGATGAATTTAAACCTTCCAGAACTATCCTGTCCTTCCTTAGTCTTCAGCTGAAGACAAGGCATCCCAATGTATTTGAAGAAATGTGGCTCATAGCTTGCAAACTTAGGGAAGTAATAAATACATTGCTTCTCTTAATGTTTTAATTGATACTTAAAGTGTCATGCTGAAGTAAGTCATTGCCTCCTGCTCCATCTGCACAGGGGCATGATGCCTGTCCTGGGGCATCACATGGGCTCAGCAATGTGCCCATGTGCTACCTGTTGCAGGAGTCTGAATCCCAGCATATTTCAAGAGCAGGCTTCTGGAGAGCAGTATGTGCAACCCTTTCTTGCCGCTTAGAAAAGCATACCTCTTAGGTAAACTTCTGATACATTTATTCCTTTTTTTGTCAGTAGCACCAACCTGCTTAAAAAAAAAAAAGAGCGAGAGAGAAGAATGAAAAAAACCCAATCTAGTGATTTATGTGACGTACTTGTAGAACAAGCTAATATATCTTTGTAGATAATGAGATTTATAAAAGATAATATAGGACATAAATCTTCAACCTCCCATTTCCACACCCCAAAATATGACATAAACCATTTAATATTGTAATGAGGAACATTGTAGTGCATACAGGTGTTTAGGTTGGCAGATGGGACCAGATGATTCAGACCACATCAAAGAATTCCCTCTTTTTTACAGCTCTGAACTTAATTTGTTATTTTCTGACATAAAAAAAATGAATTGTAATTGTTTTGGTTTGTTTTTTTTTTCCACATGCTGGCATAATGAACTGTAAATCATGTCAGCATCTCAGCCTGTTTTACACTAGTAATTAAGTTGTACTAGTGTTTTATAAGGTCAACTCTTACAAGTAAGAATACGATGTTTTCTATTGTGTATAGGTAGTATTATATTGTTCAGATCTCTGAGGTGTATATTATGATTTCATACCAAGAAACTTAGAGTTTTGGCAGTTTTGGTGTTATCTTTTATGACCATAGTCTTGTTTGTTGAAGCTAAAACTAAGGAAGTGAGGATGATGAAATTAACTCTGTGTAGATATAAATGTAATCCCTTCTAAGTAGTTTTTTTGCTTTAAGGTCAAGAACAGTTAGGAGGTGCACTTAAGTGGAATTCTGCTGTGCCTTTGTGTTTGTCAGCATAGATTATGTCCAGTTGATACTGGCAGAACAGATGATTTCTCTTGGTAGTTTGCAGGTCAGCATAGTTTTGGCAAAGCAGTTTAAATTTGGAAAAGAAGTTTTTAACTGTATGACTGAAATATTTTCAGGTTCTGGACTCTGCTTTTTGCTTCAGATTTTTTTTTATGCTGTCTGTGAAAGCGTGAAATTAAGAGTTGTGTCAGTGTGTCAACTGGTGATGCTGTTGCCCTGTGAAAAAGCAAAAGTCGCCTGCTAAGAAATTCTGGGTGGCTGTGGGCACCAATCTGAGCAGGGACAGTCAATTTTCACCTCAGTCCAACTTCTTGCTCCTTGTAACTAGTTCACAGAACGAAGATTACTGTATGAGAGTCAATGACAAATGTTTTCTTTCCTAAACAAAGCTATATGAGGAAAAAGTCAAGTTCAAACCACCAGCAAACTAAAAGCATTACAAAAAAGTAACTTCTTGTGGACACAAGAAATTGAAGTTTAAAGGAAATCCAAGAATGATTGACATAACAAGTGTGCAGTAAAGGCATCTACGTAACTTGTAAGTTCACTGATGACACCAGAAGACATCATCCATTTATTTCCTTTGGAAAAGACAGGAGATGAAAAACCTGTCAGAGGGACAGTGATATTCAAGAAGCAGGATCATCCCTCCTGCACAGGTTTCTCCTGCCTATTTGTCAGCTGGGAGGATGAGCCAGGCTGTCCCTTGCCACAGAAGCCTATGCTTGAGTTCTTTCAGAGCTGTCCCAGGCTCCTGTGGATGGGACTACTTTAGGAAGGGATCAGAGAGGAATTTTTCCCTTTGGGCCAGAAGCTACTAAAACCTAGTTGTTTTTTGTTTCGTACCAGAATGACAGAGGCGTCAATGACTTGGCTAGAATTAAACCTTAACACATTTTTTAAATTTTTCATGCATGGCAATTCAGAGCTTTCCACTATGGATAGAATGACATAGGTGACATAGGATTATATCAAACAACAAAGTGTTACTTGCATAGCATTATAGTGGCAAATTCAATCAATATATACACTCAATATGCATCCTCATAGCACAATACTGATCATACCATTTAGAAATACTAGATAAATTCAACTTGTCATAGGTCAGAATTTAATGGTGACTTACTGGTCCATGTTAAATAATCAGAGTGTGTATGTGTGTATAAATAAATTATAAAATGCATGTGTGTATATTTTTTTTGTAGCCTTAAGTGCTTGGCAGGAGGTAGAACGTTCTGGAGCTGTTTTGCTTTGATTTACAATGGTTTAAAATTCAGGTTTTCTTCATAAGGAGGAGTCTTTATATCTAGTATGTCTAAGTTTTGATCCAATGTGCATACTCACCCTCATAAAACTAATTACTGTTCCTGGCACCAGGAATCCAGCAAGGTTTTGTTTGTCTGTTATTTGAGTTTCTTTTAAATTATCACTGAAGCACCTACACAGGTTCTTTGCTGTAGATGTATCGTTGTAAGGACTTGTTCTAAATGTATTCTTTTAATTAACTCTGTGTCTTCTCTTTTACTCTCTCTCTCCCTCACTCTCTGCCTTTCTAGCAACAGCATTTGTTCCACTTCTGTTTTATTAAATGCCCTTGCCTTACGTTTGTCTTGACTGGCTTCTATTTACAGAAATTGTAAACCAGTTGAATGCTCTGAGCAGCTTAGATGAAGATCAAGATGACTGCATAAAGCGAGCAAATATGCCTTCAGCTAAATCAGCCAGTTCCTCTGAAGGTCTATGAGCTTTCCTCCTTTCTTTCTGTTTCTTATTGTCTGTATTTACTGTGACCTGTTACCTTTTGACTCCTGCTTGCATTCAGCTGTCAGTTTTATCTCTGTGCTTCCACCCAGCACGACTCTCAGTAATTTGTAGTGCATCCAACAGGTAACAACACGATAGAGAAAGAGCCTGTCTCCTCTACAGCTCCGTTGTCATCTGATAATGAACAAGAAAGAAAAAAAAAAAAAAAATTTGTTTGTTTTCGTTTTTTAAAGAAATCACAGACCCAAAGCCCAAAACATTAGTTGTGCAGTCAGTAATACTTGATCTCTCTAACATGACAAAATGTCCCCTCTCTGATTTTATGTGCATGTTACATCCAGAAATTAAAATTTCCTGCCAATAGTTGACATGTATGTGAATAAATAAAAAGAAATTGCTGTGTTTAGATTTTTAGATCTGCAACATTTATTTAATGAAGGTGATAGAAGGCTTTCTTAGTAATCTTTTCTGTTACATAATGTCCTGATCAGCAAATAGAAATTTCATCCATTTCATTTTTTCCTCCTCTGTTGGTGTGCTTACTGAAGTGCATTATTTCAGTTGTGCGGTTCGTGCCATACCCCGGTACAGTGTTTCAGGGGACTGTTGATGCAGAGGTTTTTTTTGATCTTAAAATATGTTAAATGAACAGCTTATATCTATATTAAAATGATATTCCTACTTGTTTGTAGAGCTTATCAATAAGCTTAATTTTCTGGACGAAGAGGAGCAAGACCTGGCCAACTCTAGTATGAACCCTTTTGGTGATCCTGACACAGCAGAATTAAATCCATTTGGAGACCCTGATGCAGAAGGTAATAAATTTGTTTTACATAGTTCATTGGTAATTGCAAATGCATAATGAAACATGATTGGGTTTTTTGTTTTTATTTTTGTTTTTGTGTTGTGGTAGGGTTACAAATGAAAAATGTTGTTTTGATTAAATACAATTATTACAGGGATACTGAGGTGACGTCGGAATAGCAGTGACACAGTTGCCACTGGAAAATGTGTTTATCCTTCAAGTCATCTTTACATGGGTTTTTCCACCATCAGCTAAGAGTTGGACCGAAGACTTAGATCTATCAGATGTGTAACTAGTATACCTCATGTGGTATAAATGAGCAACACATACAGTCAAGTGCCTCTGTTCCTTGTGGATTCTGGTTTATAGCAGAACTTCCTTCACTGCAGTCTTCACTGCATCATAGCTATTCTTGGTTGGCACTAATCTTCATTATTATAATTTAATTGTATCTTTTTTATTTTTTTTTTTTGCTTTTATGGCTTCCTCAGTTAAGCCTTCTGGCACTGTTTGGTAGGTGTTAATCCCCTTTCTACACTGACATGGTCATTCTTGTTCTCTTTGAGTGAGAAATACAACCCCTGTAAGTTTTTGATGTGATAAGACTTTGGCCATAAAGCCAGAAAGGAACACCAAGACAGCAGGAGTCTCTGCTGTCCTCAACTCCACGTCCAGATCTGCAGATTCCATCTGCTGCCATAAAAAAAAAATCAAACCAAACCATAAAAAACACAAACACCACTTTCTTAGTTTGCAGCTCCTTGAAATGCCAGTCCATAGTTAATTCCCAAGTTTGAAGCTGTACTCTACCTTTCGTTTCAAAGCTCCAAGACTTTTCTTCCCACACAAAATACCAAGGAGCATTTGCCATCTTTGATGAAACCCCAGGAACCACTCTGACAGTGGAGAACTACACTGAGCAGCAACAGTCCAGGGTACAGCCATGGGATTTCTAATGCCAGGTCTAATGAGGATGCATGTATGAGCTGAAGCTTCCACTTGTGGTTCCTGTCTTTCTCTGGACAAGCTGAATGTTTACTCACAGCAATGCTTTTTTGCCTTTGGAGTTCACAGAGGCCAGTGTGGGTGGTGACTGATGTCCCGTCATACTTGGCTGTAGTGTAGTCTCACAGCTTGTATTTCTCAAGCAGGGACATTGCACTAATCTTCTGTGTTTGGCCATTGAAGCCATAAATTCACTATCCCAAGCCGCTTCTCCATCCTTTAAAGTTGTCAGGTGTTTCTAGAGCTGCAGAAGTGATTTGTTTCGGCTTTCTGATATATGGGATTTATATTCTGGTCTGGATCTTTGGCTTTGTCTTCTGTCTGTTCCTTGGTTGTGAGTTCCCTTAAGAACATAGGAGGAGGCAGAATAACCAGGGATATAAAACACCTATTCTCATCCATCTAGTTGTCCCTACAATACTTGCTCTAAGTGACTCAGCCTATATTCCTTTCTTCCTTCTCTGTTGTAGAAAGAAGATCTCCCTTCTGCCTGGAGAAAGCTGTACAAGTCCCATCCTACCTAAACTTCTGTCTTCCAGACACAACTTTCCTTTCTTTTCCAGAGAGAACCTGCTCTGGCAGAAAGCAGCAGATGTTCTGACCACAGAATACAGGGACCATTCCTTCTCACAGAATCATAGAGTCGTTTTGGTTGGAAAAGACCTCTAAGGTCATTGAGTCCAACCGTTAACCCTACTCTACCAAGTCCACCACTGAACCGTGTCTCTAAGCACCTTATTTGCATGTCTTTTAAATACCTTCAGGGACGGTGAATCTACCACCTCTCTGGGCAGCCTGTTCCAATGCTTGATAACCTTTTTGGTGAGGAAGGTTTTCCTAATATCCAACCTAAACCTCCCATGGAACAACTTGAGGCTACTTACACTTGTCATATCACTTGCTCACTTGGGAGAAGAAATTGACCCCCACTCACTGCAACCTCCCTTCAGGTAGTTGTAGAAAGTGATAAGGTCTCCTCTCCTCAGCCTCCTTTTCTTCAGACTTAACAACCTCAGCTCCCTCAGGCACTCCTCATAAGACTTGTGCTCTAGGCCCTTCACCAGGTTCATTTCCCTTCTTTGGCCATGCACCAGAACCTCAGTCTTGTAGTGAGGGGCCCAAAACTGAGCACACTGAGTTTGGGTACTCGAGGTATGGCCACACCAGTGGCGAATACAGGAGCCACTTACATAATCACTTCTCTAGTCCTGCTGGCCACACTTTTTCTGATACAAACCAGGATGCTGTTGTCTCAGGGACAGGGTGATAAAATCTGGTGGTGTTTTTGAGTGCCAGTATAGCTTGACACTTCATGTCATGTTCACTGTAAGCAGCCTACTCATTCCTCTGGGTCTGTTTTGTGTGCTTGGGCAGTCTCAGGGCTCAGACTGTTGGATCCCCAAAGAATTCTCATCTACACAGCTGTGGGCAGCAATGCTGAGTTGTTAGGCGTGTGTACCAAATATTCCTCCCACACGTTGTCTCTATTATCCATCAGTCAACATACAACAACATGACAGTGACTTTGATAAACAGGGTGTCACTGGATTCTTCCTACTGTGTCATAAGCTGTTTTTTTATTTGGGAGGGTTGGACCTACTGTAAGGTTCATGTGACAGCAGTATGTCTTCCTGGAGCACTGAACCAAGTGGAAGATCTGAGGCATTTCAAGCTATCACACGGAGAGTGGGACATGTGGTGTGGCATTTTTAAATCTTTTACTTTATAATTAGTGGCTCCCCAGAGATTCTTCTAGTTACCTCAGACTGCTTTGAGGAGTGCTGGCCCTTTCAATCCAGGGCTGACTTGGCCCTATAACAGGCACTGGTTGTGTCTGTCTTGCCCTGCTTGGCCTTCTTGATATGTGCCTTTCCTCCAGTTGTCTTCCTCCACAGAAAGTCAAGGGGAAAAAACAGTGCTAAGACAAATTAGATAAGACAGTTCTGGTCTTCAGCAACAGCAGGAATCTGCCATGTATGTCTGTGGCTAATTGGATCGGTGTCTTTACATGGGGAGTACCTAAAACTTACTGTTTTGGGGAGATTTCCTTTTGTTTTGGGCTGCATTTTGAAGCTACACAATACTGCAGCTGTTCTCACCCTGTTGCCCTACTGCAGAAGGCTGCCCTGTTTGTTTCCGATTTGGCCACAGGCATATTCCCTCATAGTTTAAGATATTTCCTCTATTTTAAGACCTCAGTGGAACTTTCATTGCTGCCATGTGTTTTTAGGAAGCTGTTTGAGGCTATGCACACCTGTTTGCTTTTGCCTCCTTAAGTGTATGTGACCTTTTTGGTGTCCACCTCAGGAGCCTGGGAGCATGACAGAGGTTCAGGAGTTTAAAGCAGACTTTTTCCTATAGTCTTTAAGAGTCACGTTACCTGTTTCACTTGTCTTGTGGTCTGCTTAAATCAAGAAATTAACCTTTTCTGCATGCAGGGTTGAAGTATTTTCCTATTGACTACATTTTAGTCTGCTTTATCTTTTCATCTGGACAAGGAAAAATTGTGAATTTAGACTTTGGGAAAGTTCAGACTCTTTCCATAGAATTTGTTAGTTAGTTTCCCCAGGATGTGCAGAGCAGCCATCTGGAGCCTACTTTCCCCAGTACTTGACCACCAAATGCTAGGAGGCACGATGTGCCATTTGGCAGAGATATTCCAGGGACATGCCTGTCAAGCCTGTAACCTGTGCACTTAGTGAAGGAGTGCTTAGAGTCACCCAGAGTATGAATATGTAGGTATGGACAGTCAGTCAAAGAGTATGGAGGATTACTTGCCAGTAGATCCTTGTTTCCTAGACAGGTATTTCACCTGCCTGTTCACAAACCATGTGCCTTCCCTCCTTCTTCCTAATCCCATAATCACCTAACCCTGGGAATGCAGGGTGGAGAGAAACTAGAGGGGTGAGTGCTCCCAGTCTCCTTGTGCACACTGTGGCTGCAGTGTGTGGCAGAGACTCATCCACAAGCTGTCTCTGGATGCTGCTGGAGTTTAAAAAGTTCTTTGTGTAGATGATCTCACATGCACAGTGGAGTCAATGTGCTTGTGAACACCTCACCTCAAAAAACCCTTCAACTGTGTTTCTTGGTTGACATGGCAAGTTGAGGCTTATTTGCTCTGTATCTAGTAGATCAGCTAGACATTAGAAATCTGAAAAATAAAAAAACAATCTCTTTGAACAGTGAATCACTACAGCTTTATACTATAACAAGTGATCACAGGACAACTGCCTTTTGGTTTGTCGCTTAGTCAGCTGATTTCAGAGTTCAGTTGTAATGTAATTTTTGTGCAAAATGTATTTCCTTATTGGGCAAGTCAATGTATACAACAAATGCAAGCAGAAGACACCACACTTGCAGTGGCCCAGATATATTTTTGAATTAGGTGGGGAATGCAAATTTTGAAGTTGCATATGACCAATACAAGTTTCCTGCAACACACCTGAGACATGAAGTTGGCATTGCCTCCTTCTTTCATTTAAGCCAGCATTTACTTTACCAATGACCTTTTGTGTAGACTTCTGAGCTCTCTGCAGCACATATTACACTGGAAATGAAAACAGTGCTACAGTGCAGTACCAAACCCCAGAATCCTTCTAGGATAGTCCTAAGGAGAGCAGTACAAGAACAAACGTAGAGGAAAACAATTACTCTGTGCCTTCTCCTTATATTTCTTAATGAAATGTAACATTTTGCTGGTGTGTGTATTAATAAAAGTAATGGAAGATCATCAGTGGTTTAGTGGGATGCCAGTCATTATACTTTCTAGAAATATTGGGAAGTCACATTTTTCTTCTGTACTGTTTGTTACGCTGCTCACATCCCCGTTGTGAGTGTGTGTCTGGCAGTAGTGCATTAAGTGGCATAACTAAACATCTTTCACATGTGGCTTGTTCTTTCATCCTCTGCCAAGGGGAAAGTGGTATGTGTAATGTTTTGGTGGGGTTTTTGTTTGGTTTTAAGAGATGTGTCACAATATGTTTGTGTTACAAAAGGCAAGTGGGTTGAAGGGTAGGGTGATTTTTGGAGATCCTCTGGGAACTGGAAGGCTGATTGTGCAGATAGGTAGTGCCAGAGTGATTACTATCACAAGCAGTCTTTCTCAGTGGAGTTAGGGCAAGTAATGTTTTCAGAATCTGGCACAAGAGCAGCTGGTGCTTCTGCTGCAGTAATAATTCTACCTCCCCTCTTGTCACTCCTACCCCTGTGGCTTTATTACTTAACTATGCAAAATTATTGTGGATATGACTCTTGGAGTGCCAAACTAAACGTCTATTTTTTTTCCCCCCCTATATATTGGTGTAGAGAACCAAAATCAAAACCAAATAGTTCAAGTAGAGGCTAGAATCCTGTGTTTTCAGCTGTGATTAATGATTAGGGGGAAACAGGGTAATCTGTGAACTCTGTCGTGTAAAATCGGCCTGAAGAGGAAAATAAGCTGTTGTATGTTCAGTCCCTGAAAATGCACTTCCCAACATCATCAGGTCCTTGAGAAAATGAGAGTGTCCTCATTACAGAGGAGGCAAGAATGGCTGCAGCTTGAAGAGTGGTGGTGTTGAGTTGCTGTTTTAGCAATTTAATTTGTTACAGAGAAGTTCATAAAGTGATGACTAACACTTGACATAAAAAACTAGTCCTCAAGCGTTTTGGAGACCCCCATGGGAGAAAGCCTGGTTGGGTTCAGGTGGGGACCCTCGTGGGGACTCTTCCTCCTGTGGAGACATTAAAGGAAGCAGAGGGGAAATAATAATAGTATCCTGGATGACAAGAGGAGAGGGAATGAGCAGTCAAGTGAAGAAGGTTCTAGTTTAGCACCTACAAAATTCTGCCTATGAAAATGCCTTGAAAGTGGTATTTTTAGAAGCTCTTTTAATTTTAGCCTGCGTGTATTATTTTGTGAAATCTTTTTATTAATCATAAGCTAGAGGTCTCTGAGCACTGATCTGAAATGCTGCACATGCAAGGCCAAACCTGTGGTTACTGCTGAGCCAAAGAACAAGAGAAAGAATTTAATCCTAGTTCGGGCTATAGCACTCAATCCATAGTGTTGAAATAAAAAGAATTGCAAAAACTATTTGTACTGCCCTTTAAAATTTATGCTAATTAAACAAGCATTTAACTCATCATTTCCAGGAGCCACTTAAAAGCAAATTAAAAATAAAAGCTTACAGTATAGTTTTAAGAGATTGTTTCCTTGAATGTCTTTAACTTCAGGAAATATTATTGGCATTCCTTCTAGTAATATTTGAATGCTGCTTGTGAATTATCAGCACATTTTGCTCAGATATGATGTCTGTTTTTCAGGAGATTCATGTGCAGCAATCTATCGTATGGAGTACAGAAGCAGGAATTGGTACTTGGGTACTCTCTTGATAAAGTATTTTAAGATTTGAGCAAAGATTAAAGTAGCAAAAGGTTTGGTTAAAACAACAGTAAGTTTCAAAATTTGAACAGGGCATATAGCAGCCATTTTTCTGCATTTCCTTAAGTTGCTTCTGCTTTTTATATGAAACTATCTTTTGAGGGCAGATCTCAAAAACATTTCAGCTTGGCCTAGTTCAAATCACTAAATGTGTGGATAACATTTGAGTAGTATCCTGAGTGCCATGAACTTCAAGTCACACATATTTTGCCTAATTTTAGACATAACAGTTTGAACATTTACCTGTGAGCTTTGACTGCAAAGGGGTCTAGCTTAGCTGCAGGTAAGGGTGTTGCTTCTGCTTGCCACAACCACTTACACTGGACACTAGAGTGATGTGAGTAAGCCAGTGTAGAACCTCTTTTCCAGTTTTAGCTTAAATAAATGAAGAAATACACTTAAATGTTGGACTCTGATGTATTTAATCTATAATACTGTCGAAGGGTTCTTGCTTGATTTGATCAGATTTGCTTTTTAAGAATTTCTGCCTTGAATGATTTCTTTTGCCTTGTCAGTTAAACTGTAGACCTTCAATATTATTTTATTGTGGCCATCTCTGAAACATCTTTCAAATGTGGGCTTACAAACAAATCACCACAGATAAACTAGGATGTGAGCTTAATATGCATCACCAACTTTCCAGTAACTACCCTTTCTCCCAGGGTGTAAGTGCCCAGTAGTTTGTTCCCTTATATTAAGGGAAGAGCATGTTGTATTTACTTTGGGATAGGGGTGAACACATACACTCCAGCTGACATACTGCAAACACACACCCTGATTTATCCTGCAGGAGTTTGTCTATATGCCTATCTATCTCCTAAGACACAGCTGAAATGTTGCTTTATGACATTCAGGTGAGTCTTAACCAGTTTGAACAGTAACAGAACCTCCTTTTTAGGTTTATCTAAGACGATTATTGCAACCCTGTTTATTTTTTGTTCTACTGTTAGTCACAAGGATTTTGATTAATTAGTTCCTTTTAGAACACGTTTTGGTAGTGTACAGACTGACTGTTAAGTGTAATAATAACTTGTTGTGATCTCACTTTACCTTTGTCTCATCCCATTGAAGTGTAGTGTCTGATTTACACTTCTTGGTCTCCTTTTTGACTCCAGTTTTCAACTTGAAACAGTGATAGATGTATTCTGAATTTGGAATTAAATATAAAAACTTAGGAGATACTTAAGAGATAGGTGTAAGTACTCTGTATGTTGCTTATTTAATGCAAAGTTGGACCGGGTTGCAGAGGGAATAAGAAACCGCAGACCTCACCTGTAATTAAATATTTTTTTTAATACAATTTTATGAATAATCACCATAGGGAAATCTCATGAGCACAAGCACTATATATAGGTGTAAGTCTGTCTAGTTAAAGCCTGAAGTACAATTTTATTTTAATTCACCCAGCTGAGCTCGCCCTCAGTCTTAGATGAGTGTATCTCCTGAGTGCCCACATTGGGCTTAAGTAAGATTTTGAGTATTTTTTTTCTGTTATTCCAGCCAAATTAATTTGGTGTCTACTTTCTGACCATACAGTAAATACTCCACCACTTCAGGAACAGACCCTTAGAAATGGTATAGAAAACAATATGATAACATAGTCTTTGAGGTTCAAATCTGAAGAACCAAGAAAAGCAGCACTAGAAATCTGAGGTTTTTCCTAAAATGAAATCTTTCCAGTTCCTGGTACATCTCAATTGTTCTGAGAAGGACTAAAGCCTTTCCTGCTCCAAAGCTTTGCCCTGGTTTTAGCCCAATGCGTAGATAGGCGAAGCTGCTACCTGCATCTGGGGAGCTTGTTCCTGTCCAACTAGGAGTGGCTCTTGTTCAAACTGTAGATTACAGTCAGTCACACTTCTGGGGGGCAGGGCTTTCTGTCATCTTGAGCTGTGCTAAGGGCTGGAGAGGGAGAACTGGAAGCTTACTGCAGAGCAGAGAACACTTACATTTTTTTGACCTTTGGAGGTCCCTTCCAGCCCAGACATGACTCCATGGTTCATTTTCTAGCAATTCACCAGTATTAGCAACTTCAGTACATTGTCCATCCAAGACCAAGCAACTACAGTGCTATTTCTTTCACTTGCTCTTTCCCTTGTATAGTTGTGTGACTGGTGATTTTGGTCTTCCCAAGTATTTAGTGACAAACACACTTGGAACTCCACCTTTTTCTTTTTCAGAGCCTTGCTACAAATAATGTTTAAAGTTTTTCTTTTAAAGCTAAAACGTACGTTTTGTTCAATTTAGTAACCATTCATCTGAAAAGCAAACACTTTTTATTAAGGGATATGTGGGAGTGGTTATTGAAAATCAAGTTTTGCTAACACTACATTGAAGTTCTTATTTGCATAGATTTTGAAACTACATCATATCCAGTATTGAACTGAGCATATGATGATCCAGAACGAGTAAAATTAACATTACTAAGGGCCTTTGTAAGAAATGTTGTATCACTGTGCAGGGATTTGTATTATTCAATATCCAGCAGCCATTCACTTTTGTGTAATGTTCTTTCTGTAGTGTCTGTTACTCTAAAGAACTGCATGTACTTCCAGGTTGTTAATAACTTTTTGTTGTACAGCCCAAATAATAGCTGAGTAACTTGATTATCTGTCTCTTTAGGGTTGATTTAAAGTCATTTTTACTGTGAGACTATGTATTGTTACAGGAGCAGTGAAAATATGTATGTTTTGAAACGTAATTACTGGTCATGCCTAATAAGTGGTTTTTAGTTCAGTCATTTTAAGAAATGGAAAGAACACCTATGTGATATCACCATTTTTAATATCCAGTAAAATTAATTGTATTATAAAAGACAGGTTATCTTTATTCTTTAATAAGAGCTCAGATAAATAATTAAGAACATTTTGTTAGGATACAAATTGGCTAATAGCTTGGGAAAATGTTTTAAAATGTATTGCAATACCATTTGTATGACAAATAAGGAAACTAATAAATTAGGTAGAGAGAGCTTTACTGAGTGAGAAAATGAAACTTATTCAATATACTCTAGATGAAACAACCTTTTGAAAGACCTATTTTTGAATAAACAAGGTTGCTCTGTAAATAAATAAAGCATGAAAATTCATTTAAGGCTAGGGCTGTGTGTGTTGAGAGTTAAGAAACAGACCTTTTCATAAGCCTTCAAAATATAAAGATCTGATAAAATGGTTTCCATTTTTTTTGTGTTAAAACTCTTTAATGATTTTTTGGTGTTTGGTAGAACTCAATGCCGAAATAGCCTCATCTGCAAAGCCAGAAGAAAGTTTCTATGCCGACAATTACAATCCCTTCAAGGATGAAGATGCCCCAGAGTACTTGAATCCATTTGATGAGCCAGATCCTGAGCCTGAAACATTTGTAACTGTAAGAGATTCTCCTCCACAACCTCCAAAAAGGAAGAATGTCAGACCAGTGGATATGAGCAAATACCTCTATGCAGATACCTCTAAAGCTGAAGAGGAAGAACTAGATGAGTAAGTATGCTTCTTCATCTTTCAGCAGCTTTGGAAGCATTAGTGGGATCCCTGGCTTAATCTTGAGGCGTGCTGGGTTCAGCCATGTTGATTCTTAATTATCTCCTTAGGACAGTCTGATCCTTATGCAGCTCAGCAGCAGGAAATACCATACCCCCAAGTCATGCTATTCAACTGAACATGATCAGTTAGGAAACTTTTCTTTGCCTCATTGATAGCAAACTACTTGATAGGGAGCAAGTCTGTATACCTTTTTGGCACTTCATGCCCTGACAGTTATAAATGATCCAAAACTTAAGGAGCTGCAGAGTTTGGTCCTTTCTGTCCTTTTTGCCATTATCTTTACTACATAAAATATTTTTTGTTATTGATAACGGAGAGTTTGTTTTAGATGGGTAAAGTATTTAAAAAGGAAGAGTGTTTTGCAGTCTGCATGGCACATTTTTGATTCTCATAAAACTAAATGTCTTTATGGAAAAGATAACACCACATGCCTTTTCTTAGGTTGTTTCTTTTATCATTACTACACATAAAACTTTTATAAACTCCCACTGACTGCCTTGTATTATAGTACAGAAATCAGACAAGGACTAAGAGCTTTTTGCAATAGCTCTGCAGCCTGGGAGGTTTGAAGGTATATACTTCTTGTTTGTGGTCATTAGTCACCAACCACACCACTCATGAGGCAGTTTATGGTGATTGCGTGTGAGCAATTTTACAGACAACAACTGCAATTAACATTTAGTTTTACATTATTTAATGAGATTTATCATGGCATGACCTTTACATTGCTTTCATACTTAATATTAACACAGGTGTCATATCATTATCTTTCTATGTTTATAGCTATGTTCTAGGAAGTTGTAGGATTCACATACACTCTAAGAGAGATATATAAAGGAGATATATAAAGGAAACTGCAGGGTTTTTTCTTTTTAAAGCTTTGTGGCCATGGATTTGTTGTTGTTTGTTCTGTGAAGGAGAAGAAAAAAAAAAAAAGGGAGAGCATTGGGGAATTACATGTTTGCTTCTGCCAGCTCCATTCATCAGGGCAGTGCCTGAACAAACAGCACTGGCTGCTGTGTCTTCAGAGCACAGTCTGGTGACAGTCACACCAGACATCCCTGATCATTTGCTGGTTACTGGAATCTGCAGGGAGAAAACATATATGCACTTTATACCTGCAAAGGTGTGGGTATAGGGGACAGCAAAGACTGGGAAAAGCAGAAAAAGCAAAAGCTACAGGGATGGCAAGTGAAGAATTTTCTCTGTTTTATATTTATACTCACGTTTCCACACTAAACAAATCTGTGCCAAATGGGCTTGCAGCAGCGTTGTAACAGGCAGCCTTGTTTTTGTTGTGTTCTGGACTGTAGATTTCTCTAGCCCTTTGTTTACAACAGCCGCCTCCTTATATTAATGACTCCCACTTGCTTTATTCCTTTTTTTTTTTTTTTAAAGATAAAAATAAACTTCCCATAGGCAGATCCTACTCTGAGATAAATCTGATCTTATATTTTTATTATAAAAGCAGTCTCCCATGGAAAGATGGAAGGATAAGGATTCAAAAAGCATCATAAAATAGCTTTTTATGTCTTTTACGTAAGGGTTTTTTTATGTCCTGACCCCCAAAGTAGCTTCCTCTCCACGTTTTCCTCTGAGGTTACAGGAGCACCATGTTGAAAAAAGACGTGGGGACCGTTTGTTAAATGTATGGGGTAGAAGTGTGGCAAGGAGAAACTTGGAATCTTGATACTGAAATGCTTTGGAGGAAGAAATGTGATAATAAACCTCCAAACTATGAGTATGGGACTTGTGATCATAACTCACAACTAACTCACAACTACAAGCACTGTTATGCCTTACATCATGTCACTAATTTTCCATTTTTCAGTAGAAAGTTTCTGCTAAGATATAACACAGTGAGCACCAAAAGAAAGAATTTTGTAGGCAGTCCAAGTTGGTAGTTTTTATGTGCCCTAAATCGTGAAGGTTTATGTCCAGCTAAGTGGTTGGTCTTCTTCCAAATCCTGTTAAGATCTAGGCTTCCATTTGTGGCAGATAGTTCCACAAAACCAAGATCTCACAAGAAATGTGTTTTGTTTTATTGATTGTAAATAAGTCACCTCTTCAGTCCTGTACGCTATCTCCTCTGCTGGCTTATCAAAACAATTAGTAGTGTTGGATTTATCTGCCATAAAACAGCTGCTGCATTGTCTGTCTCTAGCATGTTCACCATAACTTGTCTCTTGTCTGAGTTAAACGGTGCTAACTTTTTCAATCTCTCTTCATACAGAAGTCACTTCATCTCTCTAATCATTTTCACCGCACGCCTCTGGACCCTGTTATTTCTTCTGCTCTGTATCTATTTTAAGATGTGTTGACTTGGCCTGGGCAGTGTATTCAAGACAAGGCTGAACAACTGAGTCCTGTCACGGCATTAGAAAACTTTGCATATCATTTTCAACCTTTCTCCTAACATGTTTTGATTTTTGTTTTGTTTTGGGCAGTTTTTAATCCTTTTTAGCTACTGTTGGTCTAGTGCTTTCCCCAGGAGGGGTTTTGAATCTCATAGATGGCAGGCATGGGAAATAGAAGGCTCTTGAAAGACACGGACTGTCAATTAGGAAATACAATGTATTTTTGTTCGTGTGTCTTAAATGTTTAATTGCAGTTCTCTTAATGCATCACATGGCATTTTCCTCTTGTATTTTGTGTGAAATGTGTTGTGGAAATATGGACCCATCAGTTAGCATCAGGAGCCTTGTCCCACTCTTCTCTGGCAGATACCTAGTTCTGATTCTCGACTCAGAGCTTACACAAAGTGCCCCAAGAGCTGAACTCTGACTCCAGTTTTGTAAGACTCTCACTGTAATCTTGGAAACCAAGTACTTACCCTCACTGCACCTCTGTGAAGGATTTACCTTGGGTAATTGGCTTAATTGAAACATATTTCACTAATGGTTGTGAAGATAATGTAAGATTTCACAACATGCATAAGCAAAGCAGAGTCATAAACACAGCGAGGCGTTGCATGGTACAGAAGGACTTAGATGATCCAGAACATACATTCTCCTGTAAAACTATGCTCTCAAAACATACTTCCTCTGGCTAAATTCTCATACCTAGCTAGAGATAAGGAACACATTTTCCTTTTGTCAGTTTTGGCATTTGAATGTTAGTGTAAAATTCTGCTTTTACCTTTTTGAATTTTATATATTAAAATCAAAATGGTAGGTGGCTACCTGTTAATAAAGATCAGCACACCCTGCTAAGCTAAGCTTAATTATTTGAAAACAGCACAGCTCACCACTACTTTATAATGCTTTCAGCCTTAGTACTTCTCATTGGTAATATTGCCTGACCTTTTAATCCTACCTCACTGACAGCTTTGGTTTTTCCTCCTCAATAAAATGTTGATTTTCATTTTTATTTTAAGTTAACCAGTAAAGCTGATCAAAATAATTTTTAAATTGGTCAGAATAAAACTTGCTTTCAGATACTACTTGGCTCTGTGGCTTCTTATCTCATTAATCATTGCATGGCTTAGAGTAATGCTGTCTACTTCGAAAGACTATCAAGTTGCCATCTATTGAAGCTGCCTGTTGCACAAGAAGCCACAAGCCACTACACTGCCAATGAGAGCTTAGTGCCAGGTAGTTCATTAAGTTTGTATTTTTTAATTTTGTGGTAGATAATCAAGTATCTCTTTGGGCAAATCGTATTGTGTAGATCAATTAAATAACCTCACAGAAGTAATAAGTATAGGAACTGACCTCAGATAAAAGTGCTTTAATATTTTTCAGTTAAGGCTTTTTTCAGCCAGTCTTTTCCCATGCTGAGTTTCTTGTATAGCCACGTGGAAGCTGTTGGTCCAAACTCCCCTATGTATATCACACCTCCATGATTTCAAGATTTATGGCCTCTTTGGGCAAGAATGATTTGGGTTGTTTTTTTTCTGTATAAAACTTATTTTATCAACAATCTTTCTCAATATTTTTAAGACCACTTAAAAGCAGCACAGAGAGGAAGGCAGAAAGTGTGTGTGTGTGGTGTTCTGTCTGTGCTATAACCAAAATGTGACGGCTTAGTCTGGCTTTCAAGCAAGTTCTCTAGGAATAAAAGGCACTCACTTGTCCCCTTGTAGTACTTCATTCTGGTACCTGTGTTAGGGTAGAGATTACACACACAGTGCAGACAGTTCTGGAGCATAGAATTGTGAAAGATCATTCTTCTGAAGTTTTTAATCTCACTGATAAGGTGTGGGTTTTTTTTCTCACAGTAAATTGATTTTAACATTTTACAAATACATCTTTCTAATTCCAAGTACACAGAGGTAAATTACTTTGCTGCCAAATGTGCTGTGTCTGTTGGCTGTTCATAAGGGTAACTTGCTGAACTAAAGAAAACCTTGTGCTCTCCTGTAGAATGCACTGTTCTTCAGCCTTTATCTCTTTTATCTTCATTTTCACCTCCCTTTGAACTTTCCAGTGTCTGAAGACAGCTGAGCTGAGCTGTCGGCTAAATTAGAGCTACTGACAGCTAGGTGCATTCTCCCCTCTAGCCTGAATACTCTACTTTTTCTGCTGCCTCCCATGGAAAACACCCATCCATTTCTATTTAACTCGTTATTTTGAAGTTGCCTTTAGTTTTGATTGCACTGGTGGCTTTGTGCTTGATGGGCAGCAAAGTGGAAACACCTGAAAGTTACTTTCAGTCAGCAAATGAGTTATTTTAGTGTTAGTCTTTCCCTTTGCTTCAGTATCTGGACTTAGATCTTTCTCTGTAACAGGCAGTGGCAGGAAGGTCTGGAGTTTTTATACCTGTTCTTCACTTATGTGCTTCAGTAAACTTTGCCTTTCAGCAGCAGACTTATTTTCTGCAGTGTGGATTATTAATTGTTTGCTTTTTTTTTGAGTGAAAAGAGGATGATGGAAAAAAGCATTAAAATAATTTCTAAAATCAGTCTATGAGAGTAAAACACATTTTCATACTGAAAGTACACAAAACTGGGAGAAATTTGTTGTGTGAAATGAAACTGGATGAGTTTTTTGTTTTTCACTTGTGCCCAAATTTTGCTGTTGTAGTTCTTTGAAAACAGGGTATATTGTACAGCTCATGACTCTTACCCTGAGAGGGAATTTGTAAATGGATTTAGCTAGTATGCTGTATGCATTATTGTTTCCAACTAGAGTTCAGTACAGGGAGTTGAGATTATTTGTTGTGTTTAGTTATGCTTTATATAACTCTATGCAGATAGGTCTTTGGGAATTGCAGTGACTTAGTTACATAAACATAGTGTGAAATACATGATAAATATATCTTGCAAGGGAAGCATGGAGTAGAAAGGAATTAATTAGCATATCTGTTTCGTAGTTAGCTATCTAGTTTTGGATTGCAAAATATGAAAAGCAAATATTATGAAGAAAATAATTTGGTGCAAAGAAGGTTCTCGTAAATATCCTTAGCAGGATACAAAATTGCTGGCTCTTCCAAGTGCATGGCAGAAGCCATTATTTGATGTATTACTGATTGATTTTACCTATCTCAAACTAATAGATAAAATTTGGAAATGCTGTGGAAGTATTTACTTAGGGTGGACCAAGTGCAGAGCTGGAGCGTGAATACCAGAGTTAAGGAGGATCATCTTCTTAACTTGGGCTGCATCCGCTCGGTGGAAGATGTTTGCTATGTTTCCTAAATGAGATTTAGTTCTAAAAAACACTTTCAAAACAGACAGATGATGGCTACTGCTATCTGTAGGGAGGTATACATATGTCAGCTGCAGTTTTCTTAATGCTCTTCTCTTATCCAATGAGTGCTCTTGAAATGGTGTGGTGCCTGTATGCTGCAGACTTTAAGACACACTCAATTTGGATTGTGTACCCAGGGAGGCCAGAATTATAAGACTTGGACAGCCAAGAGTGAGGCCTCTAAAACCATGTTGAAGCATGTAGACGTGGCCTGATTGGTTACTTGTAAATCAGATCACTCTTTGATAGATAGCTAAGTATCACTGAGGAGTTAGCTTTATGCAGTTGATAAAACTTACCTAATTTACAGGTAAATTAAATCTTATTTTCATTTATAAAAATTATCAAAATTCTAAGCTAATGCAGTTTTAACTGTTGTACCTCACTTTTCAGTAGTATGAAATAATACTATCTGAAAGCACATAAAGGCAAAACATATGTGGGGTAAAAGAAGCATTAAAGTCATTGGCTTCTCTGAACAGGTCTGATTTTCAGTTTAAATTCCAAGGATGTAGCAAAGATATGTTTCCCTTCTTTTAATTAGATCAAATCCGTTTTATGAACCAAAATCAAGCCCTGCTTTAATTAAAGTTGCTCCACTGCAAGAACCAGAAAAGAAGATGAAAAGAAAGGCTCCTGAACCACCAAACCTCTTGCCAAAGCCAGAGACAGGCATGAGTGAGAACATGTCGGCTACTCCTCCATCGAGGGACCTTTCTTCTTCTCCTAAGGTAGGTTTTCCATACCAAAATTTTGTCTTTGTTGTTAACAGTACCTTTATGTGTATTGTAGACATTCTATTTATTTCTGCAGGCCATCTTAAAAGCTTTGCTTACACTTAATAAGGTGTTGGCTCATCTCTATTCACTTTCTAGTTCATGGGGAGAGAGCAGCAGTAGGAGCTTCTATTTTTTCTTTAAGGATTTAATGACAACAGTAACAGCAACTGCAGTTTCAAAGAAAAGAGTCTTCTAGTAACAAATGTTACAGGACAGCTGGATATGCCATCGAGAAGGAAGAAAATCGTGTTGAACAATACTTTGTCTTGATCCATTGTAATGCCACTACTGTCTCCACATTTTTGTCATAAATCTGGGTTTTAAGAGCTTAATACTAGATACTGTTTATTAGTATTGGGATTTATATATGTCCAATTCCATAGCTAAGTTGAAGTAATTTGGAAAAAAGATAGTCCACTTCAAATCAGATGAACTGTTCATTAGGAATGCCCAGACTAAGTATACTTATATGCACATACATGTGTGTTTGTCAAGGGAAAATATGAGTTAATTCTGCTGAGGAGGTTAATGCGAGGTACGTATTTTAGAATTACAACAGCTAATTTCTGTCTCAACTCCAAAGTTTTGCAGTAGTTAGCACCACATGTACTTTTTAAACAAAATAAACATTTAATAGCATATGTGAATTGTCCCTTCTTCAAAATGAATTTGATACATGCTGACTGCTTGTTTTGAAGAGTAGGAAAATGAAGACAGAAGGGTTCCCTTCCAGCATATCTCACCCATTTTATGCATGTTATCATCTGTTTTGCTTTGTATTGAAGCTGCTGTACTTTAACAATTGAATGAAACTACTTCTCATGCCTATCATTTAATTGCTTAATTACTCAGCCAGATTGCTGACATGTCCTTGTCTGCTCAGGCTCTGATCTTGCTGTTGGTTTACCACTCAGTCAGGGTAAAGGGTATGACATCAGAAATCTAATCTGTATCTGCTCACAGCAAAACAAAACAACACAGTAAGGCCACAAGCACAATTAAAAAGTTATTCTTAATGTGCAAAACCACAATGAGGGAAATATGAAATCAAAGCACAGCAGTTTTATAGTGCTTTGAGATGGTGTTTGATACTGTTTGCTGGAGTCTATGAAAAATATTGCACATTATTTGATTTCTGCTGGAGTCTGGCCTTCGGGTCAAAGCAAAGTGGACAGTGTAAAGCATTGTGGTCTTACCAAGCAGAGAAGAGACATCTGTGGAGGAGGTTTGATAAGTTTGCTTGATAGAGGTTGTGCCCTCATTGCTCATTGTTTGAGAGGGTTTTTTTACATGTCTGCATTCAAGGTAGTGTATCTCTCTGCTTTATTTTGTCTCCGTTGTGCTGAAATAATGTATTACTACCGGGTTTGATTGTTTTAGTCTTTGACTGCACCAGGCTAAGTTTTAGGTTGTCTGAAAGCTGGAATTGATTAAGAAAAGATACAGGATTAGACTCACTGCAAAGGCTCTGCTGTTGTGAACACAGTCAGGTAGTTCCTGTTCTTGTGCATGGTGTTAGTTGCTGAATATTTTGATGCCTGCTTGCAACCCACCTCTCTGCCACTGGTGCTGAGATCAGCAAAGGTCTGAGCACTGAAAAAACAGAGTCCTGTGCTGACCTTCTCTCATACAGAAAGCTTGATTTTTTTTTTTTACAGGATTTTGGAGGATATGAGACCCTTAGGGAAGGCTCTAAAGCAGATGCAGTGTCTTGGCTTATTATACTACAGCTAGAGTGGAAAGTTTCACTGACTGGGTGTGTTAAAATATTATATGGTCATTTGCAATTCAGGAAGCTTCTGTAAGCACAGTCTTTTTTCTGTGCTTGAATTGGTTTGCTCTAAGGTGATCTAATAGCCTTAAATCAAGAGCACTTTACTTGGAATGCTTTTTGAAATTTGGAAAAGTACTGTCATTTAAAATAAAATAAAATAAAGCCATTTCCTCACACCACAGTACAAAATAATGCTCAGGTATAACTTGAAGTGTTGGCACAAATAACTTGTTTGTTTATTACTCAATAGTAGTCACAATGTTTAGCAACAATGAAAAAATTCCCATCAAAAGGTATAGTAGACACTATACAAGCGTGAACTTAGCACACACCCTTATGTAGGGGAAATAGTCCCATGGAGGTAAATTTAGGTAAAGGGAGTATAAATAACATACCTTATACAGTGTTTTGGCCAAGTTCTGTCCGAGTTTGCTGTGCACAGAAAGCTTCTGCTACAACTCTGACCAGAACCTAAGTGTCCCAACATGTTCAATTGCCCTAGTTGTCTTCACAGGAAATGGCTGTGGAGCAGAAATGCTAATCTTTAGACTACACAAATATAGCATTAATATTAGAACTTTAGAGTTCAAGGAAAAGGACTCCACAAATGTTTTTGGAGATCTTTGACAGAGTATTTTGAGCTCATTTTTCTTTCACATGCTAATGGTGTTCATCACATTTGCTGAACACGAAAAACACAAATGCTGTTACTAACACATATATATATATATCAGCAAGTTTATTAGATGGATATTGCTTATGAAAGATTAGTTTACATGTGCCAGATTCCTACTTGAGATACAGGTTCCAAATACTTGAAATTTTGTTACTCTATTAGAAAAACGACTTATATGTTGAAAATGGTAGTGAAGTTCCTAGGAGTTTAAATACAAATTGAAAAGTACATCAAGAAACGGTGATATTTTCTCAAGTATATACCCAAAAGTCAAATCTCTAGGTTATGCCTGAACACCAAAATTGCTTCATTCACGGTTCAGCTGCAATGAGCCTTCTAGCATTGGCATCATGGGCATAGGAACACTTCCAGAAGTGCAGTTGTGTTTGCTGTTGAAACGTCAGAGCCTGAATCCAACATTTTACTATTACTCAAGTAGTGGTGAAAAGTTTCTCACCTGAGTAATATCTGATTACCACACTTTTTTTTTTTTTGTTATGTGTTTGTATTTTCATAATTTATAACAGCAGTGTCTGTGGTAATAAAAGAGAAGAATTAAACTGAATTTTTAGCAGTCAGCAGTATTGGAGGTATCTCATCTGAGAACAGAGTTAAGCTGATTCATCTATGTGGATTGCAAAAGATTTTCTTTTAAGGGAGTCATACAGACTTTGAACAGCTGAATACTATTTTCAGATTTTCCTGGAATCATATCCATAGTTAATTAACCTGATGCCACAAAAATCAAACTCTTCCTAGTTCCTTTGTTCAAAGATGTGTGCTATACAAGATAATTCAGTGTAAAAGTTTTCATGTAGAGCTAGGCGGAAAATTCTAGAAAGCATCTGCTGTGGTGGTGGTATCAGCATCATGCCTGGTGTCCCCAGACAGAGTGCGTACTCCAGGGTGGAACTTGTTCAAGAACTCAACTGTCAGTGAAGACAGAACACGAGACTGAAAAATAGGTATTAAGGGACCTCTAGAGATCATCTGGTCCAACACTCCCTGCCCAGCCAAGGCCACTTAGAGCCTAGGATCATGTCCAGAAAGTTCATACATACCAACTTCAACTGCCTGAAATCTCAGCCAGTTTTAATATCTTTTATCTTCCCTGAATTATCTTGAGTTTATTGGAAGTAAGATCTAGGTGTCAGTTCCAAGGTCAGCAACTGTTACCCACAGTAGAGAAGCTGAAATCATGTGTCTGTGCACAGTCATGGGCTTCACTGCCTTTGTGAGAATGAGGGGGAAGGAATGCTACTGCATCAATGTTAGCAGTGGAGAATTGTTCACTAGGGAGCAGGAGGAAACAGGTAATCAGCATCAACCGTAGAATTTTTAAGTGTTAAAATAGCTGCTGCACTGGATTGGCATTATTCATTCACTCTTTGGAAGGATGGCATATGCCCTTCCCTTCAGGAAACCATTCTGAGAAAGGATTTTCCTGTTATGTAGTAGTTTCAGCTTGTTGCCAGACTGCAGCCAAGGCTCATGTTGATGGCTCATTAATCCATCAAGTTTCTGCCATTAACCTACTAAAAGCCAAAAGCTACGTTATGTTTGGTGAATCCAGCTTGGCCTTGCATCCTTTCTCCAGTCTTCAGGGTCTTCCTTAGACACATGCTTTACAGGTGACTGGTTATCAGGCTGGGATGTGGTATCTCTCAGATTTCCATTTCCCAGCTGCTTACTGGGCTACCCAGAATATTACAGTAAATGAAACTCCTGTATTTCAGTCTTGGCAATAGGGGTTTCTCTGGCCATATGTGGTTACGTGAGCAGATATAGAATTGATATCAGACCACGGGATGCATCCATCCTTGGATGGTTTTTGAGTTACACCCAGCAACTAATGAAAGTATATAGCACCAGGGCAGGATGATAAATGAGCTTAAGTCTGTCATACTAATGTATTATCATAATTCTTATCGTCATGAAAGTCAGAGTGTTGCTGATAATCATGAAAACATAGGCATTGGTTTCGGTGCTTGTAGACAAGAGCTTGTGATGGCATTTTTAAGTTGGCAGAAGAGGAAAATACACATTCACATTAGAGTTCAAAGCCAATAATAACATTTCTGTTTGTCACCATCATTGTTTAAACTCTCTCTCTTTTTAAAACCAAAATTAATTGTTTTGTATATCCAGTGATAGGCTGCTCTCTCATGGCAAGCAAGCTCACTGGTTTAAGGTTTAACAAAACATTTTTATAGGAAGCATGTAATAAAAGATAGAGAATTCTTTTTCTGCATCGCCTGTAATAATCTATCTCAATCCAATATCCTTTGTAATCCATTGTGTGTCTGCAATGCATCTGTTCAGGCAGTTCAGAAAGATTTCTACCTGATAAGGAGTTTATCCTTCAAACTACAAAGGAGGTACAAATTACCTCCTTAGGAAAGAAGGGAAGTTCTCAGATACTTTTCAAGGGAACACCAAGAAACCTCTAGTTTCTGCCTTATTTTTCCTTCTTTTTTTCTGCTTTTTGTTTTTCTTTCTGTC